CTCCCCTTCTTCCTTTTACTAATAGCACCTCCAGTTTTAGCTGAGCACATAGCAACCCCTCTTCAGCCTACATTTCCCTGTCTCCTTTATAGTTAAAGCAGCCATGGTAACTATTAATATTTCCTGGCCAATAGGTTATGAGCAGAAGTAACTTTCAGATCACATCCTTAAAAAGGAAACTGGTTTCTCCTCACCTTCTCCTTTCATGAACTTCCCAAGTGCTAGAATGGGATCATGGTGCTGATAAGCTAATCTTAAATATGTGGTCAAGGGCAACTGCTTAGGAAATGAAAGGTGAACTGGGCTCCTAATCAAATGAACCCATGGGGCTGCCTATCTATCATGGATCATCTACTATGAGAAAGCAAGAAATGTGTGTTTTTGTTAAAGCCACTGTATTTCTGGGTCTCCTTATTTCAGCAGCATAGCCCAACTAATGCATACAACAAAACAACAAAAAATCTTACATTAAATCCCAAAGTTTCCTGAGACTGATAATATAGTGAAAGCATAAAGGTTTACATGTGGAAAAGTAAAAGTTGACAGTACTTTACCATTTTCTTAGAAGGTATCTGGAAGGGACAGTTGTATCTTAAATCCTTAGCCAAGGGTTATGTTGTGTGGCCATAGACAGAGCCCTTGCTTCATTTTTTAGGAACACCTGCTGATTTCCTGTGACAACTCCATAGAGAGTACCACTCAGGGTCACTTTTGACCAGAGAGAGAGAAAGTGCTGAGCTGCAGGGACACCCACGCTGGCTCCAGCTGCCCACAGCCTTTGCCAGAAGGCATAACAATTTCCCCAAGGGTCAGCCCTCTTGTTCACATTTTTATCAAAATCTGGGCAAGTCCTGAAATCAAAATACTACTCACTTTCTGGCAGAAATGTCTTCAGCAAAGAGTGAAAGGTTGATACTCAAAAGTTTCCCTTTTTGTTGCATCCCAAGGCAGAGGCTAAACTCATATAAAGGCAAATCAATATGACATTTCAAATTCTGCCCAGAAAGAACACAAATGACAGTGAGACATGGGGATGAAGATATGGGGTAAGGAGGAAAGGGAAATGAAAGAAGAGCCACAACAAGGAAAATGTTGTGCTCCTGGAAATGAAACTTCGAGATGCTGGGACTCCCCCTCAGAACCCCAGGGACTGACTCAGCACACACCGATCGAACGCTGAAGACAATTCATTGAGGACCAGAGCAACACTGGGTTTCTCTACAGCTGTCTTCGCCTGTTAGGACCCCCCTGGATGTTTTTATTTCTTTTTCCATAGCCCGTGGGGGTCTCCAGTTGCTCCACTGAGCAGGCCTGGATTTTTTTTTTTTGCCAGAGGAAGGCAGGGGCCCAAGACTGTTTTCCACCTTAAGGATAAAATCCGTTAATTAAGGAAGACACATTGACAGTAGATGGGAGCAGTTACACAGATTAAATAGAATGTGTCACAGAATGTGTTTCGGCGCTGTTGAATATTTTTCAAATATCGGATTTTGCCCAGGATATTCCTGTTGCAATATATATTGCCTATTACTGTGGTTGTTGTTCTTTCACTTTATTGCCCTTCAATATGCAATTACAAGGTAAGTGACTTTTAAATCATTCTCATTTAGGACAAATTACTAAATGTTTAAGTGCTATTTTATAAGCTTCATATAAAAACAGAGTCAGAGAAATACTTTTGCTCTTGAAACAGTTTGTTTCTAAGAGTGCTAAAAGAGATAATGCACCAGTATCTGTCCCACTGAATTTATAATTTCTGTAGAGGACACAGACAAACTTGCTGTTCCTAAGAGATGAGTCCAGACAGTGAAGATTAGTAATAAGTCTAGATGCTCAGCCTGAATTTGCCCAAGAAAACCTTTGTTCTTATTGATTAAAAAACAAAAAAGGAAGACATGGGACTTTCTGAGGTGGACTTTTATCCAGCTACCTAAAATAAAAAAACAATCAAATATGCAGACACTCTTCCAACTATAACATCCTCTCAAATTTCACCAGAAGGTCAGCTCTCTGAACTCTCTAGGACTCTACCCATTCTATAGGAGCACCACACAATTTATTGCAATATCAAAATAAAAGGAAGACTTTTTTATGTGCTTTGTTTGACAAATGACCTAAACAATCACAAAAAAAAAAAAAAGGAAAGAAGAGACTTCGCTAACTGGTACTGGGAGTCTTCTGAGGTCAGTGTGCTCTGCTTGTGTATGAGAAACAATAAAATGGTTTTCTTCTTTAATGATTCACAGCATCATAGGAACTCATGAAACTAATAAAGGAAGACAATGTGTAAAAGAGAGAAGAGAAGTGGGAATGATGAAAGGAAGCGATGAACAAAGAGGAGGAGAAGCCATAGGATCCAAGCCAGCTGCCACGCCAGAGGACTTGCTCTGCCCACAGTCCGATGCTTGAGTCCTGACGTTGCAGCTGGAGGCTCAGGTGCCCTGAATAGCCCTCCTAATCCTCCCTTGCTCTCTCTGTCTGTGCTTGTCTCACCAACAATAATGACAAAGCAATACAGTGAATGTCTTTCATCTGGGGAATAGGTGGAGCAAGGCGGTTCTTCCTCAGCTTTCCTGTTGTCAAAGACTAACAAGACTCGGGTGAAGGAAGAGAGAAGATAGCATTGTTCCTCCACAATCTCTAGAAGCATTAGTGATGCATCTCATTTTCCTTTGAGCCCCTCACACTTGATCTGGGCTTCTCTCTGAGGTCCTTTCGGCATCTCCTGCCCCACCCAGAGAGAGCAAGCACCCCAGTGGAAATCCCCTGAACAAACTAGCACATGCTGTACCAAAATATTGTGTCTTGGCTTTGTTCTCTCACATCTTCACAACTAAAGGAAAGAGATACAATCAAAATGATAGGCCACTTAAATGATAAACATGAGAACTTAAAGAGACATGACCCAATTACTCACCTGTGCTGTGACAATCTGTGAGCAGTTTATGAGATCTGTGTTGGTAGATAGATGTAATTTGTGATTCCTCCTTGAACACTTGCTTAATTCATGGGAATGTATAATTATAGCTTTCTTAAAAAGATGTTCAGCTCAGTGCACAAAACATACCAATTTTTGTGAATCAGGCTTATAATTTTTTAACTAACCTTTCAAAACAAGATTAGAAATGAGGACACAGAGCATTATCTGATGCACAAAATTCTCACTCTATTTGATTTGGAAGGCATCTTGAAATGCCAAAAGAAGGTCCCAATAAATGGAGAAGATAGAATTGGTCCCCTTCAGTTGGATTCTTGCTCTGAAATATCCAGAACATGGTCCTATAACTAGTGCAGACTGTGTCTGTCACTGAGTCTGTCTCAAAACTGAAGAGGGGTTTCCAGAAACGGGTCCCAGCTCCTTTTTTCTCATTTTCTTATCATCAAACAACTGTGATGATGTGATAAACTATTATAACTCATGCATCTTTCAAAGACTCTCCAATTTGCTTTACGTCTTGGGGGATATTGTTCATCTCTGTTAATTTAGGCAATTCACAGGCCCATAGGACCAATTCTACCCAATGGCAAGGAATCCAACAGAAGTCCATAATTTACCATCCACTCAGTTTCTCTGTACTCATCACATTTCAATCACAGTCTTGTGGCTTCTTTCCAAAAGAGAGCCACTGTAAATCAGGAGATTGGTGCTTTATGGCCTAAATCCAGGTTATTCATTTGAAGACCTAAGCAGAAGTGTGTCTTACAGGAGGCATTTTCTGTCTGTTGATGATAGGACAGCTCTCAACCTGTGCCTTTGAACACCAATAATGGCTTATAGAAAAAAAATCCAACAATTATTAAGAAGTCAGCCAGGCTTAACAAACACCACCAGTTTAACCACAAGGCCACATTGGGAAAGATTTTGATTGGCATACAAGTTTAGGGAGAGTCTGAATTATCTATGTCATAGTCTCAGACATCTACCCCGTATACCTAGGTACGAGTGTAGTTTGTAGGTACTACATGTTCCTGAAAAGTTGTGTGGCAATCAGATTTTCACAAATAAAATCCTGTTCGAAGCACACTAAGAAAGTAACTATTTTATCCTTTAAACAAGAGGTCAGCAAACTTTCACTACAAAGGGTCAGATGGCAAAGATTTTATGCTTCGAGCATCATACAGTCTGTCTCATCTACTCTACCACTGTAGCACAAAAGCAGCTTTAGATAATATACAAATGGGTAATGCATTTGACTCTCAAAATGTGGATTTTAAGTGTTGATTGATACCTCTGCTCTTATTAAAAAGCACTCAAATAGACACTACAATTGTGCTTGTTGGAAAATCTCCAAGGTAATTTTACCATGTCAGGCAATCAAGCTGGATTTATTTATAAAAACTTTATTTACAACAACAGGTAGTGGTCCAAATTTGGTCCCTGGGCTATAGTATTCCAACCTTTGCATTAAACAAATAATTCTTGAATGCCTACTATGATAGGTGAAGTATGAGTAAGTACAAGAGATACACAGAGAACAAAAGAGAAAAATTGCTGTTCTTGTGAAGCTTAGAGGTTGGCGGTAAGCTATTTAAATTAAACCTACAGTAAATTACTTCATAAAGTACAGAATCTTTCTTTAAAGCAAAACTTACCCCAAACAACCAATTGATTAGTTTTGTAAATTTCAATTTTTGACTTGTGATTCCTTTAAAGGGGGCCCTAGCTTGAAATAGGTTGAGGCCAGATTTGAATCTAGCACCTTACTTTGAAGTAAGCACAGTAAGTTTAGGACTGCAAGGAAGATCAGAATGGCATAATAAAATAAAATGGTCTTTCTCTTCATGTCCTCTACCTCTGCTTACAGCAGTGACACTTTTACTCAGACTTCCTGTTTCTGGAACTTGCCTACTTTTTTGCTGTGTTTATACTTCCCCCTGTCTGTGGTGAAATAAGTATAAAGCTTCAGATCTAAGACTCTCTCTGTCTCTCTCTCCGCCCCCCCATTCATTTCATACACACAGGCTCACAAGTCTCTTCTCTCCTCTCCTTCTCTCTCAGAATGACAATTCTAGGTACAGCTTTTGGTACAGTTTTTTATTTACTTCAAGTCGTTTCTGGAGAAAGTGGCTATGCACAGAATGGTGAGTCATTTCTTACTTTTCTTAAGGATTTTGGATTATCTCTAGCACACCTTCAGGTTACTCAGTTCTCTAACAGACCTGAGTCGGGCACCAGGTTAGATGGAGATTGAGCACTTACCACGTACTCGTTTTGTATTGTCTAACCATCAGGACAGGGGGATGGGGACAATACTGTGGGTGAAATATAAGGCCTCGGTGTTGTCCAGAAGGAAGGCAATGGACTCTCAAAATGTGGATCTTAAATGTCTATTGATTCCTCTGCTCTCACAAAAGGAACACCCGTATGGATGCTACAGTTGTGCTTGTTGGAAAATCTCCAAGATAATTTTACCTTGTGAGGAAATCAAGCTGGATTTATTTTGTTTGGCTTTTTAAGAGTTCCCAAAAGCATAACTTTCAGGACAAAATAATGTCCAGAAACAATAGTTTTGCCTGCATTGACAAGTACTATTTCCCCAGCACCAAAATGTGTCTAGAATACAGTAGATATTCAATAAATATTTTTAAATGTCTTCAATATACTTTAGTTTTGATAGATTCATGTGAGAGTCTTAGTAAATAACTGAGGGGAGAAAGATCTCAGTGAGTTGTCTCATTGAAATACACTTAATTGCCTTCCCATCAACAAATTTATCGTATGTAATAATTATCTTTGAGATATTTAGTACCTAAAAGCAGATCCTGCCCACTCAGCAAACGCACTGTCATTACAACAAAACTAGGCAAAAGTGTCCAGCAGCGGCAAGAACTACCTAGGCACTTAGCCCACCAATTTGTTCCTGCAAATGAAGCCCTTTCACTTTAAGAGTTAGAAAGTATTTTCCTATAGACAATATCAAACACATCAGCTTGATGACTCAGCTTAGATATTTTGAGTCGTGTAATTGCTAAGGATGGAAATCCCTAGAACTTTCTCATTAAGGGAATTGTCAGAGGGTTGACATTTTTCACAGTGTGACCATGTGAATCACTCTGTGGGGGATGATCATTATCCTGTGCTAAATATTCCCTAAATGTGGGTTTGCACAAAGATGCATGGCAGAAAACATATAAATCTTGCCCTCTTTTGGTGTAATATGTTCTCTCTATTTCTCTCTGGTGATCATACTGTTTTCAAAAGAAATAAGAATTCTAATTGAAAGCTTGGTTTTCACTTCAACTTTTTAAATTTCAGATTTTTCTCCCCAAGATCTGTAGCCACCTATCCACATGATCATATCAAAATACTTTCCAGTTTGGGGTGTAAGGAATTCATTGTCAGCTGCTGCTCGTTGAAAGATAAGTTAGTTCTCTTGATAACCACAATTACAATGAAGAGAATAAAGGAATACTTATAAAAAAAATCCAAACGATTTTAACCTGTTAATCAACTAACTCTATCCATTCAGTAGGAAAAAGACTTCTAAACCACACTGCCTTGCCTATTATACATACTCCAAAAATTTTAAATTTTTATGGATAAAAATTTAAATAGATACCTATTTAAATATTAACAATATTAATTATTGAGCACTTAAAAATAATAGATTAAGTCACTGTTCAAAAGCTCTGTAATTTCAAAACCATAGTGATACCAACACCTTCAATTGACATAGAACTCTTTTTCAAAAAAATCCCAATGTTTCATGTATGTTTTCAGAATTAGAATACTTATTTTACCTTTTCTTTCTTATTTCTCAGAAATAATAGTCATAGCTAACCCTTGTTGAGTGCTTAGTGTGTTCTAAGCCAAGCGTTCGTATAGATCCATTTAATGATTCTTCATATCACAAGTTTATTTTTGAGAACATTGAATATTAGAGAGGTTCGGTACCTGGCAGAGGACCACAGCTACAAAGAAGAGTAGCTGGGATTTAAACCCACATCTGTCCAGCTTTGACACCATAGATCTTAACCACTGTGTACACTACTCTTCCCTAAGAATTTTTCAGCTTGTGCCATGCAAGAACATTCTCTTTGTAAAATGCTGTGCAACTTTATAAGTAATTTAAGGGAATTTTTTCCGGTTACAAGGCGATTTTGCCCAGTAACACCTGCTAACGAGCCAATGAACTACTTCTTAAAACACGGCCATTTTAAGTGCAGAAAAAATTGTATAAATGCTGCTTTGCATATTACGTGAGAGTATACAGTAAGCATGCTTTTCCAGACTTAATGGCCAAGGTTAATGGGAGCCCTTCATTTTGCTGGTGCCCAGCATTTCCTAGAGAGCACTCCACTATTTCTGGTTTACCTTGTACATTGAAGAATTGTGAAGACAAAGCTGACCCACAGGATGTCTGAATCTGAATAGTAATGTATGTGCTGTGTACAGGATAGGTGGAAGGTCCAAAGAACAGAAGAGGTCAAGGCAATGAGAGAACTGCCATGGAAGGCCAGAGCCATTCCATTTAGAAGGTTGCCATCTCTTATGGAAGAGATCTAAGTCTACAAAATCAGGAATGAATGTGCTTTAAAATGTAAGACCTAAAGGGTGGGCTACCCCTCATTGTTTCACACTGCCATCAGGACCAGGACCATACCCTGCCAAAATTACATCAGGAGCCTTTTCTAGTAGCAGAACTGCGAGCTGGATGGATCTTGGGAATGGTCAGAAAGACAAATGCCCATGGCTGTGAACAGTGCCCACAGCTCTTATCTAACTGGGTCTGTTCCAGATTTGTTGCTTTGACTGAACTGACCCATCACTCAAGTGGTTGGTCCATTCACAATCAGCTTTATTAACTTTTCCACAGACCTTCCAGGTTATTTAAGTAAAGAAAGCATTGTTTAGACATCCCATGGCCTCTGGGGCACTCAATTGAGATTCAATTTTAGTATATTCTATATCCAATTTTAAGCCTCAGAAGCATCCAGTTTCTAGTACTGATTAACCAAAATATTATACCTAGAATCAGTCACAAGCTCACACTCAACCACTCTGAGAATAGCTTTGGTTACTATTTTCTCGGGTCCTAATGAGAGTATATTTGCTGACATATTTTTTTCTGCCTCATTTTTCTATTAAATATTGTTAATTACACATACAAAATAACCATTTAATCATAGAGTCTACAGCCTAGCTTAAGAAATTGAATACTACTGTTACAGATTGTACTTTCCAAAGTGGTAGCAAAAATAATCTGATGCCACATTTTCTTCCAGAAAGCTATAGCTAGCGCCTATAAGATACTGTATCTATAAAAGAAGAATCTAGAACAGAAGCAGTATGTATAACATTCACAAGAAGATCTACCAGATCTGAGTCAAGCCAGATCTAATTTTTTTCTTATCCTGTTTGTCTCAGTCAGTAATATAAGACAAGTTGCCTTAAATAGTCACACAATGGAGATAATCGATGCTACTTTTAATTGGGATGCCTTTTAGGCAAGAAAAAGCAATCCCTTAAAAAAGTGAACCTCTGACAGTAAGACAGCTATAATCTTCCTTCATTTGAAAAAAAAAACTTGGGAGGGAATAAATGAATATTAGTAGTAAAGTCAAAAATTAGATTAAGTGTTATATGAATAATGGAAATAAAGTATCTCTTATTTGAAATGTACAAACATTTCAATGTAAACAAATGTAGCAGAAGAAATTCCAGTTGGAATAAAGGAAAAAGTCTGTTCAGTGTCTCTTTCTAGTTCTCTAATGCATAAATATTTGGAGATTACTTATTAATTGTGATGCACTTTTTTCTGTTAGAAAACTCTGTGTGCGTTGTTTCAGTTTTTGGTTTTTGTTTCTTCATTTTGAAACCCTTTTCTTGTCTTTGCCCGTGGGCTTTTCTTCTTGAGATAAAATATAATCATTCCTTCGTGTCTGCCACAACATTCTGCCATTTTAGTAATATGATGCCAGACTTCAAAAGGATGGATTTATTTGCTTTATTATGAGCCTGCATGTTTCTTACTCCCCAGGAGACTTGGAAGATGCAGAACTGGATGACTACTCTTTCTCTTGTTATAGTCAGTTGGAAGTGAATGGATCCCATCACTCACTGACCTGTGCTTTTGACGACCCGGACATCAATAGCACCAATCTAGAATTGGAAATATGGTAAGGAATGGTGATTTCAAGGATATTTAGAAATCCTCTGTCTCTCTTTTCATGTGCTCTTTTCCATAGCTGCAAAGGAAAGAGTGTGTGGCCTAATTAACAAATGTTAAAATCTAATGAATTTACAAAAACCTCCTAAAACTCTCTGTTCTTCACCAAGATTGAAGCAAAGCAACTCTCACAGTTTATCTTTCATGTTCGGAGGGCTACAGCCAAATGCTGCTATGGATCTTGGAGATTTAACATCCTTCCCTACTTCATAGTAGAATTTAAACCCTGATTTTCCTAGAATGCTCCTCACAAAAAATCTGTTTGCCTAACATGAGATAATTTAGTCTCTTCAAGCTGCATTTGGGAGTGAAGTCGCCTGGTTTCTAATGCCAATACCAGTGTTTATGAGCTTTCTGACCTAAAGTAAGTTATGTAACTTATCTATGCCTCAGTTTCCCCACCTGTAAAATGAGATAATCTACCTCATAGGTAGGTTATGATGATTAAATAGTTTAATAATATACAAAGCACTCAGAATAGTCATTCAGTGTATGATGAGTAATGCAGAAGAGACACTAAATCATAATTCTGTGAATATCAACCTAACTTCTACCCTCTTGACACAGTTGGACTTCAGATGATCCTCTCAATGTAAATTTTCAAAAAATCTACAGGAATAAGTGGGCACTTGGTTTCCTAAGGCCTCAGAGTAAAAGCAAAGCAAAGAAAAAAGTCTCTGGCTTGAAAGTTTAGTAAAGAGCTCAGGAAGATTTACCTTCTTCCTCTTTCACAAATCATCTCCTGTTGCCAAGAGTTACTATCTCTGAAAAATACTTGAAAAAATACTCTAACGTGAAATTATGACTTGTGGCTATCTCCAAATTCTTATTAGATGACCTAATTTTTAGTTTGTTTCCTAGCGAGGAAAGTAAGTCAAGATCCACGAGTAGTAAAAGAGGTCTTCCTAAATTCTGTAGACGCTGCGTCCAAGAGCCCTGCATTCCATCTTCCATTAATTTATGGAAGCTTCCTGCATCTATTCAAACAGTGCTTCTTGCTGCAGTCATTGGATAAATATGGTTTTGGACCCAAATACTATAGTATGTTCTCAGTCTGCCTCTGTTAGTTCACTTCTCTAACATACTTTCCAGGAATAAAATATGTTGAAAGAACGGAAGCCTGAAATGTCCCGTATCTAGGCTGCAACTGGACTACACTAAAACAGTCAAACAACTCGTTCAAACAATGCACTCATTGTTATGGGCAAAACACCCTCCCACACAGAGGTTTGACTTTGGGTTCTCCAACCAGCTAGTGGTAGATGGCTGAGTTCATTGTGGTTTCTCTTGGCCAGGCTAAAGCCGACCTTTCTGTCCACTTTAACATATCTCTTGATTTTTCCTGTCATATTTTAAACTATCGAGAGCCTCCATTTGGGTTTTCCAATTGTATTCAGGTATTTGAGTTGGAAAGGGATTGTCAAGGGCACGTATTCAGTGTAAAACAGTAAGTATGAACTCTGATAGATTAAGGTATTTCTAGAGAGCAGCCATTTCCATCAGAGGTGTCTACAGCTTGAGGCGGAGATTCATGCACCTCAGGTTCGGAGAAGACAATGCATCTCAAATTAAATTCAGTTAAACAGAGCACTCTGTTTGCTAGTTAGATTGGGCTTCTTTTTCACTATGAAACTAGCTTTATTCGTTTGCTTTTTCTGTTAATATAAATCTATAAAGAAGAAATTGAAATTAATTCAAAATGGTGTGTGCTGATGAAGTCATTACACAGGTGGGATTGTTGATAGACACTTGATGCCATCTCTTAGAGGGCGATAAATTTACCAACTGCCCTGGATCTGACCACCAGTCTCCCAGGCTTAGTAAGTAATTTAGTTAGTGTTCAATAAGTGGATCTCAGAGAGAGACTTGGATTAATCAAGCTGACAGATTTGAATTACCAGCATGCCAGACTATTTCACATTGACAAATACAAATATCACAGAGATCCAAATAGTTATACTGGGCTCAGGATCTGTAGGATTTGGTATTGGGGGAGGGGAGCAGAGAAGGCTAACAGGTTGCATATCGGTACAAATTCACCTTGACTGAGAGGCCCGAAAATTTTTCATTCATCAAAATTCTAGCCAGATGTCAGGTGCCTTGAGTGACAAAACAGACTCTGGAAACAGGCGCCTGGGTTGGAATTCCAATAGCAACACTTAACTAACTCTGCGACCTGGGTGTCATTTGAACTCTCTGATCGTAACAACTGCCTTGCACTGGGGTAGAAGGGATGAGTGTCTGGCATATGGTATGTGTCTGTAAATGGTCCTTAATCATCTCAGGATGGTTCAATTTTCATTAAAAATATCATCAAAATGTTATTTGGTATAGAAGCAAAACAAAGAAAACATTTTTGTTGATTTTAGGTCCAGAGTTATTTGGTTCAGATCACAATGTGGTTAATTTTTTTTAACTAGCTCCCAGCATTTAAAACTCTTAATATCTCTTTAAAAAATCAGATCTGATAACATTGGGCCCATACAGCAAAAAGCAGTGGGAACAGAATTCTGGCTGATTCTTACAGATGGAAAATTAAATCTCAGTCTTGGCCAGGCATGGTGACTCACGTCTCTAATCCTAGCACTTTGGGAGGCTGAGGTGAGAGGGTCACTTGAGGCCAGGAGTTCAAGACCAGCCTGAGCAAGGACAAGACCTCATCTCTACAAAAAATAGAAAAATTAGCCAGACGTGGTGGTACACACCTGTAGTCCCAGCCACTCAGGAAGCTGAGGCAGGAGGATGGCTTGAGCCAGGAGGAGTTTGAGGTTACAATGAGCTATGATGACACCACTGCACTCCAGCCTGGGTGACAAATGAGATCCTGTCTCAAAAAAAAAAAATTCTCAGTCTTAAATGTAGAACCACTTCTCTTACATATATTACTTGCATAGACCCAACAGAAATTTTAATTTGAGGCCTTTCTTTTTAAGTGTTTGCATAGTTTTCATAATCCACTTTCAGAAAGTAATTGTATTTCCTCTATTTCCACATTCTTGGGGGTACCACAATTTCCCATGTACTGCCTACAGATACCACTTCAAATATATCATTTTTTGTTTTCAACAATTACCGACACCATTACAGGCTGCACCCTGATATTGTAGGCTCAATTAGCAATATCTGTCAAGTATTGTTAATTTAGTCCTTTCTACAGCAAACCATACTAACCCCTAAAATTGTTAAGCATTTTTGAACTAGATTCTGTCTTTCAGGGCCAACTGAGAAATGAAAGCAATATTTGTGGGGTTTTTTTGTTTGGTTTGGTTTGGTTTGGTTTTATTATGTCTTTCAGTATTTCCACAGAAGGACTTGTTTGCACCTACAAGAGAAATGCATTTATTATACTAAACTACATAAGAACAGAGGAGGTTTAGGAGGGTGGAGGTGAGGTTAAGAATCAGATTACATGAAACCAGGAGATTTGTGTGAGTGGCTCCGGGTTGAAGTCCCTTAAGAAGGTCCTCCAGGCTCAAATTCACTAGTCTATGGTACTACTTGGATACTTACAGTGCTCTTTCTCCCCCCAGAACCCTAAAATAGCTCTGCCCAATAGAAATACTAGGCAATCCACAAATGAGTGAGCCATTTAGGTAATTTTAAATTTTCTAGTAGCCGCATTTTAAAAAAAGGAAAAAGAAATAGGTGAAATTAATTTTAATATTTTATTTAATCTAATATATCCAAAATATTACCATTTCAACATGTAATCAATACAAATAAAAATATTAATGAGATATGTTACATTCTTTTTTTCATACTAAATCTTCAAAATCTAACATGTATTCTGTACTTAGATCATATATCAGTTTGGACTGCCCACATTTCAAGTGTTCAATAACTATATATGGCGTGGTGGCTATTGTGTTGGGTAGTGTGGCACTAGAACATTCCTAACCCTAACAATACATAGGAGCAACCAAGTGAGTTGTTTTAATTGACTTGAATTGAAATGATTTGGATTGCATTGAGTTGGACTCCTCATGAGGGACACTAAGTTTCCTTCAATTGCCTGAAGCTGGGGTCAGTAGCACAAAACAAGGCTGTGTACTCTAGCCCATAAGGTTTATCTCAGTCTTCCAGCATGGGCCCCAACCCACATGGAGTAGCTCCTCAAGTTCAGATCCCTTAAAAGGATGCCTAGTCTCAAAGGACAGTTATGTGGTGATCCTCGATTGTCCATTGCTCATAAATCTCATTCTCCAAAAAGTGGGAATGAGCTGAGATCATTTTGGATCCTTTTTAAACTCCCAGCAGTACCAGAAACCTGCTACAGGTTTAGCACCCATAACTGGATATTCCACACATGCTTTTCTTAGAAATATATTCTAAATTCAAGGATTGAACTAAAAGACATTGTCCTTCTAGTTTCCCCACATCACAAGTTTACCTAAAATTCAAAATAGAAGCTCTGCCCCCAATTCTTCCCTCTATTCTAATTTGTCAAATCATGACAATGTTGCTGTCTTCAGACCTTTCCAGCCGGTGTTCATCCCAAGCTCGTTCCCTGATATCCATCTAGCTTACCTTAAAATTTGCTTTTTATTTTTACTTGGTTCCAAGTGGGAAAATCCATCTACCCCAACAAGGGACACAACCCTCTAGAAACTCTGACACACACACACACACACACACACACACACACACACACACACTTCAAAGCCTGAACAAACTGCATACCCTAAAAGATAGCAGTTAACAAAAGTTATATTTTGAGAGGACAATTTTAAGGAATGCCCACAAACATTCAACATATTGGCCAATTAATTAACAAAATTTCTTGACCAATCTCTAGTATTCATGATTGCAGGAGCTTAACCTGTCACTCAAAGACCACAGTAGTCCAAAAGTGAAAGATTCTGTACCTAAAGCTGTGAGTGCTTTTCAGCTTTAACCCCATGACCAGCTCACCTGAAGCCATGCGCAGACAGGTTCCTTTTTCTCTATGGAGTCCCGGAACCATTCTAGAAAGGACTCACTTGAGCACGTGCAGGAGCACAGTATACACACATCCAATTCACTAAAGAAAACCCGACACACATTCTGGGTTATAGACTGCAAAGGACCTTCCTAGAACACACCCCTCAGGACTTAAACAAAGATATCTGGTTCATGGGAACGGTTCTTTCATGTAAGCAAACTTACACAGAGGTACTTTTTTCCGCCGAGATTCTCACTTCAATTTGACACAGTCATACCTCTTTTTAGAGCTATTTATCTGAGTTTAAGGAGCCACAAAAGAAAAGCAAACTGGTAACAGTGGTTATCAGAGGAGAGAGGAATTAAATTGTGGGTTGGAAAGGAAGGAAAACTGTAATTTTACTTTTATTTCGCTTGGTTTAATTACTTTTACAACAAGAATGTATAACTTCATTATTCTTTAATTCTCATATTATTAATTTGTTTACTTTCTTTTTTGATGACAGTTCATTTTGAGAGTAAAATTTACTAATGGGAAAATGTGCAAATCTTGAGTTTAGAAAAATGTCTATGACATATAGCTGACCCATCATTCAAGATGTAGATCATTTCTTTTGCCCTAAAAGGATGCCTTATGTCCTCTTCCAGTCAACCTGTATGCCCAGGAGCAATCATAATTCTGAATTCTATTTAATATTACCCTTGGGTTTTACCAGTTTCTGATAGTTCTTCTAAATGGAATAACTCTGTTCCTACTTTTCTGTCTGAATTTAACACAATGTTTGTTAGATTTAGCCATGTGGATGCACGTTTTATAGCTCATCTTTTCAATTGCTGAGCAGTAATTCCAGTGTATGAATATACCACAAATTTTTAATCCTTTCTCCTCATAATGGACTTTAGTGTTTTTTGAAGTTTGAGATGCTATTAATTTTTTAAGTAGTTATTAACATTCTTTTACAAATCAGTTTGTGCATATACATTTTCATTTCTCTGGGGAAAAAACCTCAGAATGGAATTGCTGTATCATAAGGTAGGTGCACATCTAACACAAGGAACTGCCCTGCAGTTTTCCAAAGCCATTCTACTGTCCTGTCAGCAATGTATGAAAGTCACACATTATTTCTAACATTTGAGTTTGGAATCGTATCTCATTGTGATTTTAATTTTAATTTATCAAATAACAAATGTTGAACACTTTTTCAAATATTTGGCCATTTGAATATCTTCTTAGGGCAAGTATCTGTTAAAATCATGGAATTATTTGTCCTTTTATTATTGATAGATAGTAGATCTTTATATGTTCTGGATACAATTACTTTGCCAGATATATGTATTGCAACTATCTTCTGTCAGTCTAAAGCTTGCCATTGCATTTCCTTAATGGTTTATTTTAATAAGCAAGAGACTTTTTTCATTTTGATGAAGTCCTATATAACTTTTTTATTCATTTATGTTTAGCGCTTTTTGTGTTCTTGCTAAGGTATCTTTGCCTACTCCCAAAGTTGGAAAGATATTTTCCTGTGTTTTCTTGCAAATGTTTTATAGTTTTAGTCTTTATATTTATATCTTAATCTATGTATAACTGTGTGGGATTAGTTCATATTTTCCATACATTTACTCAGTTGTTTCAGGGCAATCTGCTGAAAAGAGTTTCTATGTCCCCTTGGATCTATTGGGTGTTTGCATTTAAAATTAATTAACCTGATACATGTGAATCTATTTCTGAACTCTATTATTCTTTCTATTGATCAATTTATTTATCCTTATGCCAGTACTAAATGGTTCTGATTGTCATAGCTTTATACTAAGTTTGAAATCAATGCTCTGAGTCCTCCATATTTGTACTACTTTTATCAACATTACTTTGGCTGTTTCTGGTTCCCTACACTTCCACATTAATTTTAGAATCAGCTTATCAATTTGGTAAAATACTACTAAGATTTTGATTAATATTATATATGTCAATTTGGTAAAAATTTCATGTTATCAATATTGAATTTGCTAATCCATGATCAGAACTCTCCATTTGTTAATATTTAGACTTCCTTTAATATCTACCAACAATGTTTTATAATTTCCAGTGCAAAGAACTTGAGCATCTTTTATTAATTTTATTTCTAAGTATTTAATATTTCTGTTGCTATCATAAATGGAACTATAATTTTTAAATTTTATTTTCCAATATTTTGGTGCTAGCCTATAGAAATATAACTGACTTTTGTATAATGGCCTTGACGAATTCACTTTATTAGTTTCTGTAGTTGTATCAGCAATTCTTTATAATTTTCTATGTGAACAAACATGTTGTCTGCAAATAAAGAAAGTATTTTTTCTTCCTTTCCAACCTGGATGTCTTTTATTTGTTTCTCTTATCTTATGCATTGGCAGAACCTCCTATACCCTGTTGAATAGAAATAGTGAAAATGGATATTTCTGTCTTGTCCTGATGTTAGACGAATAACTAATATTCACAATTTCACCATTAAATATGATATTAACAGTAGGCTTTTTGTAAATGTCCTTTATCAGATTGAAAGAGTGCCCTGTTCTTTTTTATCTACTGAGAGTTTTTAGTTATGAATGGACATTGAATTTTCTCAGATGCTTTTTCTGCATCGATTGGAGATGATCAGATTATTAATATCTTTTATCCTGTTAATGTAGCAAATTCTATTAATTGATCGTTAAATGTTTAACCTATTTTGGTTTCCTGGGATACACCCTACTTTGTCATAATGTATTAAAATCAATGTGTTAATATTTTCCTGAGGAATTTTTCATATACATTCTGGAGGGATAATGTCTGCAAATTTCTTTTCTGTAATAATTTTGCCAGGTTTTGGTACCAGAGTTAAGCTAGTTTCAAAAAAAAAGATTGGGAAGGGTCCATTCCTCCTCTATTTTCTCAGAGAATTTATCCAAGATTGGCACTACTTTTTTTCTTATACATTTAATAGAATTCACCAGCATGTAACCATCAGACATCGATTTTTCTTTATGGGGAAGTTTATTGATAATAAATTTAATTTCTTTGAAAGAGATAAAACTATTGACGTATTCAGTTTCTATGTGGATCAGTTTTACTAATTTGTGTTTATAAACTTTTTTCATTACATCTAAGCCATTGTATGCATTAGAATATGTTTTTAATTTATTTATTACACTTTTAATATCTGCATGTTCTATACTGCTTTCCCCTCTCACATTGCAGATGTTGGTAGTTTACATCTTGCTTTCTCTTCTTAACCGGTCTTCTTAGTATTTATCAGCAAAAGTTACCTATGAAAATCCCTTCTGTATATGTAATGTTATGTATGTAATTCTTTAGACTATTTTATCATTTCCTTTAACCCTTTTTTAATCAATGCTTCTTTACAGTCCTCATTTCTCCCATTTATTCCTATAAAACATAAAAACAGCAATTACCTTTTTACCTAAACATAGTATTTGTTTTTCAATGATCAATTATAAAAAAATAGGAGTTTTTTAAAAATAATTTTCATGAACATACTTTGACTATTTCAGCTTGATAATATTTCAGCTTGATATTTCAGGTTCAATTGTAACTAGTGACTGAGTAAATCATCACTGAGTATAATGTCAGCAAAAAGCCACATTATTTTAATTCATTCTTTCTCTCTAACATGCACCCACCCATCCACATACCTATGAACAGAGTCACAGTCATACAACTGAAATGCACATATGGTACCATTCCATTGTATAAAGAAACTCCTGCTTGAATCAAGACAGATTCCCTTTTTGTTTTACAGTGGGGCCCTTTTGGAGATAAATTGCCTGAATTTTAGTAAGCTTCAAGAGGTCTATTACATCAAGACAAAGAAATTCTTACTGATTGGCGACAGCGAAATATGTGTGAAGCTTGGAGAAAAGAGTATAACTTGCAAAAGATTGAACATAGTCAAGATAGGTAAGAAGTTGTATATAGGGATATGGGATATGGTTGTCATTTTTTGGATACCTGAAGGCACTGTTTCTGTACTTTCTGTATGTTAAAAGTAGATAAATGGTAGAAACAATTAGCAATTGATCATAGCAAATCCTCTAATGCACTTTTTAAAAAATGAAAAATTTGAAGCTTATACTATTAATTCCTGCTGTGAAAGAATTCTGAGTATCTTCACAGTCAGCTATGAAAGAGAGTGTTTGACACCTAAGACTGAGGGAAGAGCAAATCTACATGAAGCTTCTGACTAGAGCTGGGCCTCCTGTCATCCATGCACATGTGCCCTTTCCTTCCTCACTGGGCCTTTTCCTGAATTCCTTATAGTCTTCTCGCCATATCCCCACCAGACTCTGAGTGTGTTTGGCTAACTTACTATGTTACTTTAAAAAGTAAATATGCCTTCTGTATTAGTCAGAGTGCTCCAGAAGAAGGAAAACCAATAGGAGATAGACAGATAGATAGGTAGGTAGCTAGATAGATTGATAGAAGAGAGAGATTCTATTGAGGAATCAGCCTGTGTGTATGTGGGGGCTGGCAATTTCAAAATCTGTAGAGCAAGCCAGAGGCTAGAGATTCAGGTAAGAGTCCAGTCTTGAGTCCAAATTCTGCAAGGCAGGAAACTCAAGTCGATTTTCTGTATTGCATTCTTGAGATACACTTGCTTCTTCTTCAAGGAATGTCAGGCTTTGCTCTTAAGGCCTTCTACTGATTGGATGATACCAATCCCATTATGAAAGATAATTTGCTTTACTCGAAATCTACTGATTTAAATGTTAATCATTCTAAATAAAATACTTTTATACAGGTATTTGACCAAACAACTGGGCACCATAGCCTAGCCTAGTTGACATAAAATTAACTGTCACAGTTTCCTAAGAGACTTACTGTGGGAGGGAAGCATGGCCAAATCTGATTTGGCCAAGAATATCTAGATTATACTTTGCCAAAAATGAACATTAATAATTACATTTTAAATAAAATTATAATATCTGCATGTTTCCTTTGATTCTATATAATATTTATATACATAATGAAAGGAATTAGTAAATCTATTTAATTATGTGGTTGTAAGTCAAGATTAATTATCAATTCACCATTTGTTTACCAATCAAGTAAATCAAAACCATCAGAGAGACTGGGAATATAGGCACAAAAATATTTTCATTTATTTACAGATTTATGGCCCTGAGGTGAATAAAGTTTTTTTTTTCTCTTGCAAAACCTCAGAGATACCCTGATATAGGGGATTATGTAATCCAATTATGATATATCACTGTGATGGAATATTAATTATTTGTCTTTATTCTACCTATAGAGATTTCCAAATGAAGTAATATATGTAGGAGAAAAACCATTCAAAGTGATTAAAGATATACATTTTTTTGCTGGTTTTAAATACTAAGATTATTTCTCTCCCTATTCCTACCTCTCTTCACCCTGCAAAAAGAAAATTAAAAGTAAGAGAGCAATACTCATTAGAGACAAGAAAGAGTGAGAAACTTAGCTGTGTCTCAGCTTTATTTCACTAAGATGGCAAAATAAAGAGTAAAAGCAGAAGTTCCACATGTGAACAATTATCTTGTGAAAAAGGCAATGTCGTGGAAGAGAGACACAGGTGGATGGTCGTGCATATAGACCACACAGCAACATTGGCCATGACCAGTATGAACACTATCCACGATGGGGAGGATGGTAACAACAGTGTGTCTCCAAGTACATGAGCAAGCTGGGGTTTGGTCATTTGGAGACCGGCCTTCCATGGATGTTCAGTTCGTTCCCTGCACAGGGTCACCACATCTAAAGGTTCACCATTTGCATTGCAAATGTATATTCATTTCTCTGAGAGCAGAGAAGGCAGAGATTCTTGGTCTTCTGACAAAGTCCCGGAAATCAGGGGAGAGCCCATTCTGACACAAACTCACCCCAGCACACAAGCCCTTGCATGCATGTGAACATTCACAGCACACCCAGAGCCCCCAGGTGACATCCTGCCACATACAAATCTCCAGATCTCACACACCCAGTGGTCTCAGAGGCCCACACAGCGCACACCCCAGCAGACTGCAAACCTGGCATGCCTCATCTGAGGGGCCAGGGGAGGAGGCAGTGTGTGCACGCTGCTGGTAGCACAGGCCCCTGAGGAAGGGCGGTGTGAGTCTCTGGGGGCTTTAGAAAGCACCCTTGGGCAACCAGGATGAGAGGTGATGCAGGCAAGTCTCACAGCAGCATCTTCTCCTGGTTCCTAATGTGACATTTCATCAATGAAACTACCATTTAACTGAATTTAAACTGGATGCTCCTGATTGAATCCCAGAGCCAGAGCCCCTCTGCAACCACCTGCCCCCTCACTCACTTACCCTTGCAAGGCTGGAGGGGGCAGCATCCTGGCAGAGTAGATATGATTGTTCAGGTTGCATGAACATATATTACCTTTTAAGAATGTTGCTTGAAGAATGAGCACCTTTTTCTAATTTGCTCAAAGACACCATTGGGCTAGAGGCAGACCTGCCCAGAGAGTGCATGGACAAGCCACTGTGAGATTACAGGGTATAGAAACAAAGCTAAATGAAGAGTGAGCCTCAGAATCAGACAGAATTGGATTTAAATTCTGTTAAGCCATGTTACAGGGGCCCGAACATAAGTTAATTAACTTCTCTGAGACAAAGTTTCCTCATCAGTATAGTGATAAGTGACTGTTGTTTGAAGGCAGTATAAGCAAAATACTCAGCACTTAGTAGGTGTGCTCTTCCCTCAATTCCTCCATTATTCGGAGATGGCACAGGGCAGGGCTTCAGTGTCAGAAGGTCGTGCTGAGAACAGAGTGAAGGGTAGAAATGGGCCCAGCAGTTGTGGGAGGGTGGCCCGGGTCTCTGTCGGGCTGTTCCTGTACACCCACCGCCTTTCCTCCTGCTTCCCTATAAGGCAGCTTATCTTTTGGTGGCCCATGTTAGGGTGAAAAAGGATAAACTTCCCTTTTTACAAGACATCTGAGAGTTAAGGAGTCACTTCTTGTTCAGTAACTCCAGGGCAAGGCAGGAGAAACTTAGGCAGTCACCACGATGGACAAGTGACTGCAATAACTGGGCCAAACTCTGTCACCAAAGTTTCATTTTATTGGGCCAGTAAGTCAGTCTAAAGTCCAGCTCAGATAGCCTAGAATGCAGCTCAGACTACCGATTGAAAGTCTGATGAGCACACACCCTCTCATTAATGATGGGGCCCCAGAACAGTCATGTAAACAGAATAGTGGCCCCATCCCCAGACAACTAACTTCCCAGGCTGTGGTCGACAAGCCCTGGCTAAGGAACCAGGTCAGGGACATCTCAGCACTTGTGTGGGAAATCAGTACCTTTCTCAGGATTTGCTTTGCCTGAAATAACACCTGCCTCCCTCCAGCAGCACAGCGTGTGTGGCACGTGGGATCCTAACAGCAACTTTGCCAGGCAGGCAGAAGGAAGAGGCCCAAGATCAGTCCAGAAGTGATGCAGCTGAGGCTGACAGAGGGGACCCCCTGAGGCCACTCCAGAAGTTACGAGCCAGGGCCAGGATGCAGACCCTCCACATCTGAGTAGCTGACACAAGGTGTGAGGTCTCCAGCGTAGAACCCTATTTTATTGGAAGAATGAAGACTCGAAGTTGAAATGCTCCTGCTTTGGGGCTAATTAGTAACAAAGTTCTCCAGTATGCAAAAGGCAAAGAGAGTGGGTTTTAGTGTAAAATGAACACTGGCTGCTGTAACAAATAAGCCCCCAAACGTATGATATCTCGAACACCGCGCGTTTATTTCTCACTCACATCAGAGCCAAAGTCGGTGTTTCTAAGCCGTGGGTGGTGCTCCTCCAAGCAGTGTTCAAGGCCCTTCCATCCTGTGGCTCCGCCATCTTCAACGCAGAACTCCAAGTGGTGGGAGGGGCCTGAGCACAGGAGTCACACCAGGCAGTGTCTCTGGGCCAGGCCTGGAGTGGGAGTACGTGACTTCCACTCGCATCACCCATGTGGCCACCCCCAGCTGCAAGGGAAGCTGGGAAACAGGGTCTGCATTTGCACCCGGGAAGAAGATACGGCTTTCTGAAGAGTTAGCCAGTTACAGATGCAGAAAAGGTGGGAGTGATTTTCAGAGGAGATGGATTTTAAACATCACAATTATTTCCTTGACTGCCCTTTATACAGACATCATTTGTTTTTCTTTCCCAGTTAAACCAGAGGCTCCTTTTAACATAAGTGTCATCTATCGTGAGGGAGCCAATGACTTTGTGGTGACATTTAATACATCGCACTTGCAAAAGAAGTATGTAAAGAATTTAATGCACGATGTAGCCTACCGCCAGGAAAAGGATGAAAACAACTGGATGGTATGTCGATCAACCACATTTATAAAATAAAAATGTCTTAATGTTACATGTGTTACTGTCCTAGACGTGCATTTACCCTGGGAGGGCCTAAAACAATTTTGTTTTCAAAATGTACCTTCTACTGAAAGAAGCCCCCAACACCATATAGGCTTCAGGCCCCACAAAAACCTGGATCTTCCCTGGAGCATACTATTCTAGCTCTGATTTTTTTTTTTTTCTTGCTCTAAGTTTTGTCTTTAGGATATTTCTAAGAGAGTTACTTGGATAACAATATAGATCGAGACCAAATTGATCCTGTTTATTTGGGGGCCTCAAAAAGTGTCATGTCTTATACCACTTTCGTAGGCAAATCAGGCAAAAAATATCCGTGGGTTTGATCACCAAGTCATGGCCACAATTTGGTCTATGGGCTATGTGGGAACAGTATGAAGTAAGGAGGAGAGGTGGAATGTTTGCCTTTGTTTTGTTTTTATTTTAAAGCCCAAGGTCTTAGTTCCTGAAGTAACAACTTAATTTTTTCCTGTAATAACCTGGAGGGTTATTTAGATTATTTATTCATGATTCCTTGAGGTTGGAATGATCTGGAAGTCCCTGGGATCTGTTCTCGGGAGGTGGTAGGAGAATAGTAGAGTATCCCAGGTTATCAGATTCCTAGCATAACTTTGTCCTTTCTGTCATGGGGACAGAAAATAGATAGTGGTTTCTCTTTCTCAAGGCTAGCAGAGTGCCTACTTATTCCTACTGTCCTGTGTTCGCAGGCCAAGGTCAGCCTTGCCTTGTGCAGCATGCTGCACTGTGCCACTTATGTAACGGGAATGCCTACCCCAACCACCTTCTCCCCGCGTGCCCCGCCCCCTGCACACGCATCAACTGGATGACCTTGATCCCGCCCTCTTTCATTATTCATCTGAAAATCACACCAACAGAAAAGCAACTCTAGTGGAAAAAGGAGGAATTTTGAATAAATAGTGCCAGGACAATCAGTTAACTATTTGGAAAAAAAAAATTAAGTTAAATGCCTGATACTCTTCCTATAACAACAAAAAATATAACAGATGATTTAAGGAAACTACATAAAGTGAAACTCTAAACAAGCTAAAAAGAATATGGGCAAATGTTATATAAACTTGACATGAAAAAGAACATTCTAAACATAAAAGCAGTAGAAGAAAGGGAAGGATAGATACATGTGACCACATAAAAAGTAGAAGCTTACACATGTCAACACACAATAATCAAAATCGTAAGGCATACTGAAAATTAGGATTAAATTGCCACATATGCAGCTGACAGATGGTTAATATCTTTAATATATAAAGAGCTCTTGTAAATCATTAAAAAGGACAAATATCACAATAGAAAAATGAACAAAGATTTAGAAAAGTCTCAAAAATAAATATATGCATTCAATAAATATAAGAAAATTGATTATCAAATAAATACAAATATAAATAAAAATGGACTACTTTTTACCTATCAAATTGATAGAGCTTTGTTTTTCTTAAGAATACACAGTGTTAGGGAGACTGTTGTCTCTATATTACTATTCCCAATGTGGAAATGCATCTTTCTGGAGGGAATTGATTCCTGCTCACTAACCTAAACTTTCATCTCCCCTTGGCACATGAAAGGGAAGAGGAAAAAAAGAAGATATTGAAGTGTAGAAAGGAAGGTGGGAACCTGGGATTGATTTATATCCTCCCAAAGTGGGAGTGCCTAATTAATCCAAATAAAGACCCATCATTTCACTGTCCTCGTTGGCCACTCACAGCATCATTTATGAGCTCACAAACTCTGCCCCTAATTCTATTGCTGACTCCTCCACATAGTAAGACTCCTATTCTAACAGATATGAGAGAACCTGAATAGAGTGCATGTGTGACTAAAGGAGCTCCATTTGCAATGGCTTGGGAGATCTAGCCAACACCTCTTTTTCCGTCCTGAAAATGCAATGGCACTTTTTACTCTTCAGCACGTGAATTTGTCCAGCACAAAGCTGACACTCCTGCAGAGAAAGCTACAAGATGATGCAATGTATGAGATTAAAGTGCGATCCATCCCTTATTCCTCCGACTATTTTGAAGGCTTCTGGAGTGAATGGAGCCCAAGTTACCACTTCAGAACTCCGGAGACCAAGCGTGCAGGTGAGCAGTGGCAAAGTCTTTGTTTCCCTATAGTGCTTTGCATGTCAAAGTCAAAGTGTGATAGTTGGGACCCCTCCCCCAGGGCATTCTTACCCTTTCTTTGTAGAATATCCTGCCTGCTGTTTTTCTCCCTTTTTTGAAAAACAAGGAAGCAGAGGCTGGGGGTCCTTCATCTAACTGATAACTGGTGCAGGCTGTCTGGAGCTACTATCCTGGGCATTCCTAGGAACTGCTAATAATTCTGAACAAAATCCTCACCCACCATCTCCAGCTAACCATTTAGCCTAGAATCCTAATGGCTGGTAGCTCTAAGACCCCACTAGGGAACACGTTTGGTGATGGCAGGTATGGCTGTCCTTTGTCTCCTTTTCCAAAATGATGAAGATGTCCTTGGGGTCTAGGAGCTGAGATTGGCCAGAAGAGCCAGAGAACATGGGACAGGCAGTCCCCTGGGGACCCAAAACATTCACATTTACTTTTCCTTTGCAGGAGGCAGTAGAGGGAACTATTCTACCATACCAGCTTCCCATCCTCACCCTGGAACTTGTGATGACTAAGGGATGAACATCTATCTCATTGCCCCCTGCTCTGGTCTGGCTTTTTTCCTTTGGTGGAAAGTCAAGAAGGGAAGGGAGTGGTGGTATCTTTGATGCTAGACCACTTTACACTTCAAGTGGCAGATGTTCTGGGCCTGGTCACCCAAGTTGGCGCTACTTATGCCAAAATTTCCTGATAAAGCTGGCACGTCATCCTGGTTACTGAACAGCAACTTTCAAGAAATAATAAATGGGCCCCTGTTACCAAATAAACTCAAAGCATCCTAAAAGTCTGTCCCAATGCATGCTTACTAAATGCTAACTGTGCTCTATCCTTGTATTCCAGAAGACACGGATCCTGTGTTACTAACCATCGGTATTTCTGGTTTCTTCTCTGTGGCTCTCTTGGTCATCTTGACCTATGTATTATGGAAAAGAAGGTAACTTTCTTCAACTATTTGTAAAGATGATTGTGTGGGATCCCAGAGACCAGAGCTTGAGCCCCATTTATTGATGAGAAAACTACAAAGAGGAATAAGGCATTTTAGGAATTGTAGTGGCCAATATCACTTTCCATCCTTAGGTACCAGAGAATTTCCACAGTTGATTTCATAAGAGGCAAAAATATATAAACTGGACATAAGGCAGACCTTTTCCCCAAAGGAGGAATTCTTTAAGGCAGTGTTTCCCAAGCTTTTCCTCCAAAGTCTTCTAAAGGGTTTAGAAGGCATCACCCATGGCAAATGTAGAATGCACTTGAAGTCTTGACTTTCAGCACACAAATTCGTAGAAGCTTTGTATTCTACCCCATGATAGGGCCATGCTTGTTTCATCATACAAATGATGTTTTAAACATACACCAGTTATTTAATATTCTAGGAAGATGCCCTCAGCACAGGGCTACATAATTCCAGGATTATAAACACCCTAATATGTAAAGTATTACCTTAAAAGTACTAAACAATTTCCCTGGGCAACTTAGAAAATATCCTCTACTTCCACCAAAATTAGGGCAAAGGAGTTGCTGGCAGTACAGAGAAGGAATAAGACCACAACACCTAAATGACTCAGTTCCAGAATGCCACAACAAAACACCTCATTGCAAGCCTTCTTCCCTCTAGGGCTTTTCCCCAGAGGTGTATTGTTGTCATGTCTTATTCACAGAGTAGATTAATGGCAGTGATCTCTGGTACAACCCTCGTTGTATTAATAGGGCACTGAAGCCCAGAGAAAGCAAGTCACTTGGTCATGGTGATCACTCAACCCACCTAGTTGTGGCATAGCCCAGACTAGAAATTTGCTCTTCCAATTCCTGGCTCAGAATAAGTGGAAAATCTCACTGTGCCTATGTCCTGTACCATTTATTTCATCTACTGATGTCCTCTGATTTCAGGATTAAGTCTATTGTATGGCCCAGTCTCCCGGATCATAAGAAGACTCTTGAACAACTGTGTAAGAAACCAAGAAAGGTAAGTGTTTTTGGTGCTTACAAAAGCACTAGTGGGCAGCATCCTGGTAACTAAGAATGATATTCCAGGACAAGGAACATTGAATCTCAACTTTTGGTCTTTTATGCGTCCCCTAACTAGTGTCCATCATAAGACCCTAGCTACACTAGGGAACTAAAATGAAATACAAGTCTCAGAACTTCTAGGCTTCCTAGGGCTGGAGGGCACAGCCAGTGGACACTTTGGACCTGGAAGTGTCTCAGCACCTCCAGAGGAAAGAGTCACTTGAGGAATATGTGGGCAATTCTCTGTCAGAAGTTTCTCTAGATCTTTTCCTGAACTGAACATTTGGTGATGCCTCTCTCTCTGGTGCCATCTTAATGCCTTCTCTCTTTTTCTGTGCAGAATTTGAATGTGAGTTTCAATCCTGAAAGTTTCTTGGACTGTCAGATTCATAAGGTGGATGGCATTCAATCTCGAGATGAAATGGAAGGCTTTCTGCAAGAAGCTTTTCCTCTACAACCAGAGGAGTCCGAGAAGCAGAGGCTTGGAGGGAGTGTGCAGGGACACAGTTTGTCACCTGAGAATACAGTCATCACCCCAGAAACTTTCAGAGAGTCACCCCTAGAGTGCCTGGCTGAGAATGGCAGTGCATGTGATGCCACTATACTCCCTTCCCCCGTGTCCCCAGAGAGTGGCAAGAATGGGCCTCATGTGTACCAGGGCCTACTGCTTAGCCCAGGGACTACGAACAACATCCTACCCCCTCCATTTCCTCTCCAGTCAGGAATCCTGACATTGAATTCTGTTGCTCAGGGGCAACCCATCCTCACCTCCCTGGGACCAAGTCCAGAAGAAGCCTATGTTACCATGTCCAGCTTTTACCAAAATCAGTGAATTGTGAGACACCAAGACTGAACCTACTATGACCAACAAAGGTGACTGAGAGAACTCTAGAGCTCCCATTCTCCCTCCCAGCACAAAGAAGGGAAAATTGACAAAATCCCACTTCATAGTCTACAGGACTCTGAAACATGGCTTTGACCACTCCTCCCTGGTTCAGTGACCCTCGACATTCTGCTTCTACCATGCTGATTTGGTCACTAGGTTTCAGGTGACTCAGTGATTCAATTATTAAAAAAAAAAAGGAAAGAATGAAAGAAAGAGTGAAGGAAATAATGGAAGGGTGAGGAAGGCAAGAAGAGAGCAAGAGAAGGAAGAAGGAAAGGAGAATAACAATGATAGTTGCCATTATTAGGACTTCCCATCTATCCAATGCCATGCAAGTGCTCTACACACCTTGTCTCATTTCATCCTCATCATAATCCTGGGAGATGGGTGCAATTATTATTATTATTCTCTTTTAATAGATAATTAAATTGAGAATCAAGGAGTTAAGTAATTTGCCAAGTTGCTCACTCAGTGGAGGATGGAGCCAAGATCTGATGACTGAGAGTCCAGCTGTAGTTCCCTGAGCCAAGGACCTTTCTCTTCACTAGGAACTGTCCCATTCCTGAGTGCCAAACCTCACTAATACTGGGTGACCATATAACTTATCATCCAAGCTAGTATGAAGTATCAAGGCCAGCCATATCAAAAGAAGGTGAAGAAGGCAAGAAAAAAACACAAAACCCATTCAATTTCATTTTTCTGATAACGAGCTCAAGAGAAAACAAATTAGAAGCCCAGAATTTTTCTTGCTAGTTATCAAGACCACAGTCCTCTTCCTGCCACAACCCAACTGCATCCATGCACGATTGCCAGAAGAACCTGTCGCTGACCCTAAATACTGGCACATTTGACCAATGAGTGGGGAATAACCCCTCCCATGTGTATAGACACTGCCCCAACCAATGTGTCCCCAAATTTTCCTGAGTTGCATAGCCTGAGTTCTATAGCCTTGGATGTTGCCATAAACTTCAGGGATAAGGAATTATGCGCACATGCAGTCAATGAACCAACTGTGACTATGTTACAGAAGATACAGAGAAGAGACATATTATTAACATTTGACATTTGTCCTCTTACTTTTCTTGGTCTAAATGAATTTCTAGTGACTAGCTCAAACCAAGGCAAGGCAGCTGAGCAATGTCAGCTCGGGGAAGTGCAGCTAACCCCTCTCCCACAGGCCACCAGACCCTGGCTGTTCACAGAATGGCACAGGGCAGAGGCGGCCCAGGGAAGTAAGAAGGACTGGACTTAGGTTCTCCAGGGTTTTGCTTGGGGTTTGACGTTGTTGTTTTTATGTTTCAAATTTTCCTCTTTGTTCTGTTTTTACTTTCTTTAGGGGGACCAAACATTTTCAATATTTTAATTTTCCTGTTTGTTTTGTTTTGTGCTGTCTGTGAATGGGGTTTTAAGTTGCGGACTGATGGGCCTTATCTGTTGGCTTAAAGGACTAGGAGCAATCAGACCACGTTATTGTTCATATGAATGGTTTATTTTCCAAAGTGCTTTCCTCTGCATCAGTAATAATAAGTACAATACCATAGTCCCTTAGGTTTGCTTAGTGCTTTTGTGATTTTCAAAGCACTTCTATAAGCATTCTCTTCCATCTCCTTGATGAGTATTTACAAAAAGCCTGCTGTGGGCCAACCATAGTGTTAGGCACAGCAGATCTAAAGACAAATAAGGATGGCACGCTGCCTCATAAAGTGCAAAATCTAACAAAAGCGACAGCTTTGTAAACAAAGTATTATTACAATGCAAAATGCTATAACAGAAATATATTGAAAATGTCCTGTTGGAGATAAGGAAAATGCCACAAAAATGACATAAATTTACATGGAGGCAAAGTAGAATCTGCCTGGTGTGTAAGTAGCAGAAGACATTGTCCACCAAGCGGGCAGGTATTCTTTATCTTTTGTAGAAGTGTGAGCCAAATCTCAAAGAAAAGTTTACACAAAATCTCATGCCTGACCTAGGTCTCTGATACCTTATTCACAGAGGTTCTTTGAAGTGTTTATTATCTTTGACTTGTGAAAAACTGGGACACAGAGAAGACAGGTAAATTACTAAACCTCACGTGAAGTCAGAACTGGGAGCCATAATTTTGTATACCTGATGTAAATAGACAATCTCTAGAAGAAATGAAGGGATGACCCTAAAGGAAGGAACATTGAGGTCCCTCCAGCTCTAAAATCCTCTGTTCCAGTGTTTTTCAGCATATGTCACTATTGGAATTTAGTGTCTGTCTGTATTGGAGGCATTTAAAATCCACATATTATACTCTTGTAATCATAACTGCTGCTAAGGCTTGATTATATACTTAAGGACAATGTATAATGAAAAATTATGAATTGGTTCTGCTCAATCCCTTATTGGATTTCATTAAGAAAGAAAAACTCCTGGTCAGAGACAATGTATAAATCAGAGATGTAAACTGCCATTTCTGTATAGCACGAAATGAAAAGACGACTGAGAAATTGGCAGCTAATTTGCTCAAACAGCCATGTCTGGGTCTGGGGCACCCTAACTTACTGGGTTCATTTTCTACCAGCCTTTGCCTCTTCCTTCAGTGTGTTTTTTAACAGGAATTTGCTTCAGAAAAGCCAAGTATGGGCTGTTTCAGATGTGCATACTTGTGTCTTCTTAATTCTTCTGGAGAGGCTACCAGACTTGCAACTGGCCAGGAAGAAAATGTGGTAGAGGGTCTGGGAATGTTTTAGATCAGGTGGCATATTTGCCAGCTCGGTGGTTTCTCTTTGGGGTTATTCTTAAAAATATCCATCATTCACTACAGGGAAGGTCTCTGATTTGATGGTGTACTTTCCACATGCATTACAAACATTTTGCAGAGCTGCTAAGTATATAAGTATATGATGTGTGTTACCATCTTATATTTAATTAAATGCTGCAGAACTCTTTGTGGCTGTGCTTGTCTTCTATGAAAACTGTGCATTGAGGGATACCCAGAAGTGACCGTTTGCTGTCACCTTTTTGGTTTGGACTTTCAGAGGAATCATTTTTTCAATTAAATAGGTAATTAATTAACAAATTAATTAATAACAATTTTTTGAGGATCTCCTCTACACTACTTTGCACTGTGCTAGGCACTGGTGTTACAGAGATGAAATGGGACACTTTCAGCTCAAAATTGTATGGGGACAAAAACACATAGGAACAGTTATAATACAATGTCATACCATTGTTTTAAGGCAAAATATCAGCCAGAATTTTTAGCTTTAAGCAAGAGAAATCGATTTTGGCTAATTTGAGCAGAAAAGGAATTTATTAAAGGCTATTAAGGGGACTCACAGAGTAACTGGGAAGGTCAAACAACCAGTCTCAGAGGCCACAGAGCTACTCAATGTCCCTGCCATTGGCACCTCAAAAAAATGAAAATAGCCACCCCCGCTGTGGCCACCCAGCCCCAGGGTCGTCTCAGCAGCAGTGTCCAGTGGCTTCACACCCCTGGCTTTCAGGTTTAAAGGCAGAGCTAATGCCTGAGGTGGACGGCAATAATACCCATCTCACATGCCTGGGCTCTAGCAATGGGGAATGAAAAGAATAACCTATGTTTTCATCTCGTACATATGAGGTAGACACTGCTTCATAGAGTGGGGAAGTCCTCAAATATGGGAAAGAGGTTCTGCTGCTGGGTGAGAAAAAAAGAACAAAATCAGGTGAAAGATGCATTAAGGAGAAGTGCCACGAAGGGGCAATGTGAAGGAGGTCACAATTGACACGGTAGCGCAGGATGCAACAGAGTGTGCCAGGTAACAGAGCCTGGAGTCAGGGGAGAGCGTGCCCTGGCAGAGGAAATGCTCCTTCAAAGTAATGGAGCTGGGAGAACTTATGGGACAGTTGGGGAGTTACTAATATAGTAGGTGACGCCTCCTTGCCTGTCTCAATTGGGAACAGTAATGTGTTGGGGGGTTACTCCAGAAATTCAGATAAAGGGTGCTTTCATAGAAAATTACATATATTCAGCTTGGATATTTTACTTTAATTTAAAACTTACACCTATGTATTCATTTGTTACAGTGTAGTCCATTATAGTCCATTCTGGCTGCTATACAAAATACCCTAGACTGGTTAACTTATAACCTAGAGCATGAATCCACTTCTCACAGTTCTGGAGGCTGGGAAGTCCCAGATCAGGGTGTCAGCATGGTTGGAGTCTGGTGAGGACTCTCTTCCAGGTTGCAGATTTCCAACTTCTCTGTGTCCTCACATGGTGGAAGGGACAAAAGAGGTCCCCTGGGCCTCTTTTGTAGGAGCACTAGTCTCATTCATGAGGGCTCTGCCCTCATAATCTAATCACCTCCCCAAAGCCCCGCCTCCTAATGCCATCACCTTGGGGGTTAATATGTCAACGTATGAGTTTGGGGGATTCACAAACATTCAGACCATGGCATGGTACAAGGCCAAGGCCATTCTTTTGAGTGTGGGGTTATTGATTATAGTTTTGCTTTGTCTTTCTTAGGTAAATACACACCAATAACACATCATCTACTCTTTCCAGTCTTGCTTTCTTCCAAATGGGAAAGGACTTTAAGATTCTTGCAAAGAAATCTAAGTGTAGAGGCCTAGCTTTTTAAAGATATTTCTGCTCTCAAACCTTTTACCATCCCTTTTCCACCCCAATTTACTAGCAATATTCTTTCAACATATACTTACCAAGTCTTTTCAAACCATTCAAAGTAGTTCTCATAGATCAATAGCTGTCTTTCTTTGCATACTCATATTTCATAAGTTTGCATAATATAATTACAAAAACAAGTCCTACCAGCTTAAACAAGTTTGTGAATGCATACAACTGACTTGGGTGAGTTTACATGTCACTTGGTGGGAGCAGAAGAATACGATACACTAGAGGACAGCCTGCTAGCAGCCACATCTCAATGTGGGTATCAGTGTACTTATCAGAGAAAATGGAGAATGCCAGTTCACTCAGCAGGTGGTTCAGTGGAAGCTGTCTACAGGCATCCATTTAACTTAACATTTCCAGTCCAGAGAGTCTGCAGAGTAGTGGCTGGAAACGAGGCTTGGTAGAATTGGTGGGGGGCAATGATTAAGCATTTGATGTGC